TCACAGAGCACCACAGAAAGCAGGCACACCCCACAACATCCAGAAAAGTTTTGCTTCTGTTTGAAAAAATGAGTTCTCTGCTTACAGAAAACATACATACACTGAAAACTATGGGTACAGCAGAAAGACTTTCGGATAAGAATCCAGTCGACCTGAACGTGAATCGCAGTGCCACCACTAACTAGCTGTGTGTCGTTAGACAAGTTAGTGTATCCCCTGAGCCTCTGTTTCAATATATGGAAAACAGAGATAATACCCACTTTACACAGCCATTTGAGGATCTAATGAGATATATTATGTGAAAACACTTTGAGATGATTTCACAGACACAGGTTTTAGGAAGCAGAAAAGATAAGTTTTTTTAATAAAAAAATTTCTCAATGAGTCACAGACACTTTCAATGAAGGCTCAGTTTTCTATTTCCTGTTTGTGTATCAACAAAACCCATGAGTGTCTCAAGGAAAAGCATTATTTAAAGAAGATACTTAGTGCTTGAGACAGTTTCATTGACATCCCCAAAGCACGCTAGATAGGGAGGATCTTGCTGGAACTCTAAAAACCTACCTCTAGGGTTTGGCAAATAATGGAAGAAGAGCTGCTAAACTGACAGAAATTGGATTAAAAACTCCAAGTTCCATGTTAGCAGCTTCCAAGTGTGATATAGACCATTGCTTGTGTAGGGACGGCTGACGCAGGGTCAGAGTTTCAGAACTGTAAGGGACCTCCAGATTATCAACCTCTATTTTACAGATGAGGAAACTGAGAGCTTGGAATGGGAGGTGAAACATCCAAGACCACATTAGCAATTGTGGGACTCCACCTTACATCCAGCACTTTGCTACTGTGCTGTTTGACTAATGGTAGACTCCTAAAGCCTAATGATTTCCCATCCATAATGTGTGTGTAGTAAACTCGACTTTCCCACAGTCCACTTGAACAGAGTCTTCAGAAGGCATTCCAAGCACTGCATCTCTACCATGGCCTAGAAGCAGGGCAAACCACATCCTGGTTTGCCCAGGACAATCCCCATTCATGCCTGTTGTCCCAGCATAATTATAATAGTGCTCCCTTGCCTCTTGAAAGTATCTGGGTGAATTATAATGTACTCTTTGTAATGTTTTTCTGGGAGGAAGTGAGAGACCCAGAGTAGAACCACTGCTCCCTGAGAGCTTGGTGAGATAGTTTGGAACCAAGACGAATATGATAACCATCTTCAAACATTTCTAGGTCTGTCCTATGTAAATAAAATTAGACCCCTGTGTGGCTACAAGGATTAGAACATGGAGCAGCACATGGAAACCATAGGGGTGGAATTCTTCTTCAATATAAAGAAGTGTTCTCTGAATGATCTCTGGAGCCAGACTGCCTGGAGTCAAATCCTGGTTCTGCCATTTGCTAGCTCCATGACCCTAAGCAGGGTGCCTAACCTTTTTGTGCTTCAGTTTCTTCACCTGTAAAATAAGAATAAAAAGAGAGCCAGGGACACAGTAAGTGCTCTATAAACATTTGGTACTACTATTACTGCTGGCTGTTTTTTGGCAGGTGGGGGAATGTTCCCAGAGTGAAGGTTTTTACAACTAGACCAGAACAGGATTGTTGGGTCCACCTTGGGAGTACCCAACACTGGCTTAGCTGATGTGGGAGATGCCATCCTAACGCTGAACTGACCAGGTCTGCTTGGGGAATTATCCCACCCATCTGCTCACTGCTTGAGACCGAGTGTGTCACCAGTGAGGATCAGATGTCCCTGATGAGGGCTGCCAAGCAATCTGGAAAAGGGACCCAGCTCAGGACCGTCACGGGCTGGGATGGGAAAGCTATTCTCACTGCATGCATGGCAGTAGAGTGCGGTAACAGTATGGGGTGGATTGGATCAGACTGTTTGCCTGGAATCCTGGCTCAGCCAGGTTCCAGCTGTGGACACAAGTTGATTAACCTCTCTGTGCCTCAGTCTCCTACACTCTAAAATGGGGTTGACAGCAGTGCCAATCTCATGGCATTGTCAAGAGGACGGAATGCAATGCATAGAACAAAAGCTTGATAAATACTGTTATTATGATCATGGCACAGAATCACTAGAGCTTCAGGCTAGAAAGCACTTGAATGAAAGTAGCAACTGAAGTCAAGAGGGGGCAGGGGCCTGGTCCAAAGTCTCATAGCCTGGTAAGCATCTCACTCTGTTCCCTGCCTTACACCACAGTCCAGCTCACAGCAGACTGATTCGCCCATCCTTTGATCCCAACGCATGGCTGATGAGTTGGTGTCAGGGCTGCAGAAATGTCCCTGGGGCAGCCATTGTGTGGCAGGCCAGGCTGAGGGGCAACCTGACCACACAGGCAGGGGTGAGTTAGGGTGTGAGGCCATGAGCTCAGAGCTGGGTAGAGATGGGATGAAAGCAAGCGTGATTTATTGAAACACAAACCAGATTATATCACTCCACAGGCTAAAACCCTATTACGATGAGAGTAAAGTCCTCATAGGACACTGCTTGCCTACCTCTCTGACTGGGTCCCTCGTCCCTCTCCGCACAGCCACACTCTCCATCTTCCTTTCTCTGGGGCTTGTCCAACTTGTTCTCACCCCAGGGCCTTTGCACTGATTGGCACTCCCTCTGCCTGATGCATGCTTCCCCCAGACAGCGTATGTTGGCTCCTTGTCATTCATGCCTCAACTCTGGCAGCACTGCTTCAGATCTCCCCGACAGCTGTATCTCCAGTGGCACCCCATCATTCTTCACCCCATCATCATATCAGCTTTTTTCATAGCCCTTATCACTATCTTAACTTACCCAAGTGATTATGTCTTTACTTGTTTACTGTTTTTCCCATGTAGAACATAAACTCCTTGGAGACAGGGACCTTGCCTTAAGCGAGTCTCAACAGTGAGCACTTAATAAGTGCCTGCTGAATAACCAGATGAAGCAAAAACAGGTTGCAGAGGAGTGAGGAGGTGCAAGGGTGACTGCCTTGGAGCAAAGGGTTCAACTCCCTGGGTCAGTGGGTACATGGTGTCTGGGCGGATGTGGCACCTTAGAGACCAGAGGCAGCACATGGCACTTGCTCTGGAGAGAAGGAGAATCCGTGGAAGGAAAAAACAGATGAAGTGAATCTTCCTTCATCCTTTTGGGAGAGTGGGAGCTGTGTCACCCTGGCCACAGAGCACTGGCCCTCGCCCTAAATTAATGCCCCACACGCCAGTGGCAGGCACAGGCCTGGGGATTCAGCAGCTCTTCTCCTGGATTGGTCTCAGACTGTCAGCCTCTAGAGGACAGGAAGCAGGCTGGCTGGACTTTGTCTGATTAGCACCAAGGAGAATCTGGCACAGAGTCCTTCCTCCAGAGATGGGGCTTAAAATAAACACTTCTGATTATGGTTCTATAGAGTGGGGGAAATCTATGTATGGAATTACAACCATATTCACAGCCAAGCAGAGCTAATCTGAGTGTCCTGAAATAGGGTGACCGGACACAAGAGGTCCCAATAAGTGTTTCTATCTCTATGTCATGTTTGATTTCCAGCCCTCCACGGCAGCAACCTCAGATGAAGCAAACCAGAGTCGTAAACATGCTCTCTCTAAAGGGAATAACAGGGCTGCTTGGGCCAGAAGCAAAACAAAGAAAGAATGTGGTCCCTGCTAAGAGCTTTTGGCATCCATTAGTCTACTGTCTTAATTTTGAGAAATTTTTCCACAAAGTATTTGGAAGGGAAATATAAGGTCTTTACAAGACCATTAATGCAGCACCTTTAACAAGTGTTATAGATCCCTAATTACTCAGATTTCATTTCTAGGAAAGACACCTCTGCTTTACAAAATTAATTAATTTCACTGGGGGATTATGCAGTAGAGAAGTTAGAGACAGACTGAAAGGGGAACAAAAATCATTTCTCTATAAAGACAGTAATCTCCTTTCCCAAGAATTAAGGTCAGGAGTGAAGAGAGAGTGGCAAGAAATAAGGTCCCTAGGACCATTTATGGGGTCCAGGGCCACAGCTGGGGCTTTGGAAGCAAGGTTGTGCTATAGAAAAATCACTCTCCTGATCTGGATTTGGAGTAAAAGTCCCGATGCATCCAGTTTACAAGAGTTACTGGACAACCACTACCAAAACCACCAAGTAGTTCAGCCAAGCTATGTCAGTAAAGGGTTCGTTTGGCAGAGAAGGAACTAATCAAACCTTCCCCCCCCCCTTTTTTTTTTCCTTTTTGTCTTTTTTCGTGACCGGCAACGGATCGCAACCCTCAGTGTCACGCCCGTACCGGACCGGGACCAGCAACGGGATCACAACCCTCGGTGTTGCGCCCGCACCTCGCTCAGCCAGTGAGCGGCCGGTCTGTATGTGCGATCTGAACCCTCGGTGGGGGGGGCCCCCCCCCCCCCCCTTTTTTTTTCCTTTTTGTCTTTTTTCGTGACCGGCAACGGATCGCAACCCTCAGTGTCACGCCCGTACCGGACCGGGACCAGCAACGGGATCACAACCCTCGGTGTTGCGCCCGCACCTCGCTCAGCCAGTGAGCGGCCGGTCTGTATGTGCGATCTGAACCCTCGGTGGGAGCGCCACCGCGCTCCCAAGCGGCGCACTGTAGCAGTGCGCCACCAGGCCGGCCCCAAACCTTTTCCCCTTTAAAGCTCTTGACTGTTTCCCACTTCAACTTTACAAAGAATCTTGAAGCCAGCCATTAATAGTCCTCATTTTAACAGACAAGAGAGAAAGATTGCAATAAATGTGAGAACAAAACTCAGGAATTCATGGTCTCCCCTATCCCCACCAATCCCCCAGTCTTGGGGCTTCCTGGGGAAAAAGGCAGAGGGGCCTTTGGCCTCAGGGGAGAAGCAGTTAGCTCAACATTCATTTAGTTTTTATTAGAATTTTTCTGTGAAATACCCCAAACCCAACGGCATGCCTCTGATATAGCAAGGAAAAGCAAATTGCATGCATGATTCCAGATAGGAAAGTCACAGTGGTAGGAAAACACATTCTGGTTTTTTCTCTTTTTCCACTTACCACCACTGAGTCCTCTGTTTCGGGTGAGCTCAGCAGCACAAGTGCCTCGGATAATCTAGAAATTGCTTCCATATGCGGGCACAGGAAAGAATGTACTCACTGGCTGCCGGAGAAGGAAGTTCTGGGCAGCCTCTCTTTCCTGCCAGAAAACATTTCTCAGGCCTGAGAGAGCCACAGGGTGTTTGAGCCAAAGGAGATCAAGGGAGCGTCTCCAACCTCCCCAATTTATGGATGAGGAAACTGAGGCCCAAGGTCACACAGACAGTGACAGAGCTGGAGAACCTCTCCCTGCAAATCCCTGCTTTCCTTGCTTCTCCCCACCCCCTCCACTCACACGCACATCAGAACTGCTTGAAAGAACGGCCTATAGCTAATTTTGTGTAGCAGCAGGATGGCAAGTTGGGGTCTGAGGGTTGGCTCCTCAGAACACAGCCTGCTCAGGGGAAAGCCAGCCCAGAGGGTGCGGACAAGCTCCATTCTCACTGTACTGGACCTGCGCCAGGGTCTCCACAGCCCCTGGGCCACTCCTCAGCCTCAATGCCCTGTTAGGGCTGGGTTGGTCCAGGACTAGAAACAAAGACTCCATTTAGGACCCAACAGAGAGTGGTCTGCCAGCACCCTCTTCTCTACAGAAGCCTACCACACAAAAACTTGGGGTGAGTTAAGGCTGAATCACATCATCTTGAACTGCTGACCTGGGTGGGGCAGCTCAGCGCAGTTTCAAACCAGCAGTAGGGGAAAGTTAGAATGCCCTCTCTGCATTCCCCAGGTGGCCAGCTTCGCGCTCACCCCACACCACTTTGACTCCTCATCTGGAAGCGAGGAGCCAGAGCAGGCTGTTTCAAAGCCACTTATAAGTCAAACCAGACAAACCTCAACTTTTTTTTTTTTTTTTTTTTTTTTGTCTTTTTCCGTGTCCGGCAACGGATCACAACCCTCAGTGTTGCCCCCGCACCGGACCGGGGACCGGCAACGGGATTGCAACCCTCGGTGTTGCTCCCGTGCCTTGCTCAGCCAGTGAGCGGGAACCGGTCTGCATGTGGGATCCGAACCCTGGGGCGGGAGCGCCGCCGCGCTTCCCAAGCGGCGCACTATCCAGTGCGCCACCGGGCCGGCCCCAAACCTCAACTTTTAAAGGCCTGCTACATGGAGGCTCTGAAGCCCAGATGGGGTTTGGCAGTTCTGCTTTATAACTTGAACTTTCTGGGTCTTTCTTATCTAATATCGCCACAGATAATTAGGGTTATAACTAGTCTAGTTGCGAGTATTAATTAGGTTAACATGGTCTTTCAACAAACACTTATTGAATACTTATTACAGATGAGACACAGAACTAGAGACATAAGACTGCACTTAGCCCTATAACATGGTCCCTCATTTTAGGGAACTCAGAATGAAGGGGCTTCAAATTCCCTGTATCATTCTGTTCATGCTTCTATTTCACTATAAGCTATATTGGATGGTAATTATTGACACCATTCCACTATGAGCAACTGTGGACCATGAGCAGGGTCTGTAGTCTTATTTGTGTTAGAACAACACATCACAGATACTCAGATGTCTTCTGTCTGAGCAGAATTAAGATTCAGCCTCCTAATCCCTCCATCTCCATCACCACCTCACCAACTTCTAGCAATTGAAAGAGTGAAGAACACCCCTTCTAGGGCCACAAAGCTTGTGTCACTGGATCTCCTACAGAAATCTGTCAAAGCTACAATGAGACTGGTTTCTACATGCCTGACCCATTTCTGTTTAAATCATTATTTTTCGAACCATGAGTTTCTGCCTGTTCTCTAGCCATCACATCACTTTGGTGGGTTGCAATTAGCTTTTTTTTTTTTTAAATAGAATAGAATAGAAAATATGTTGCATTTAGTAAACATGGGAATTGTGTTTATGTTATCTATTCATCCATCCATCTGTGTGTACTGGGTCTCAATGAAAATGTATTTCTTACCATGGGTCATGGTCAAAGGTTTCGAAACACTGGTTTAGACAGTGCATCTTTGTATGGTGGACTCTCTGCTCACACAGAGATTTCTTCTCAGATATTGCCAAGACACTGCCCCCCTTCACATCTGTCATTCGTGTATAGGAAAGGGACTCTACTCCGAGCAGGCTTCTTTTTGTTGTTTTTAAAACCCTAAATCACTTGTAGTCCCTTAAATTTAAATTTTCTCTCTTAAAAATATTTTGACCCTGGGAAGAGTTGAAGCAACCCACCATCTCAGTTGTCCCTGCCCCACAAATCCACTCAGTGCAAGGTTCCTTGCCTGTGGCCTCCAAATTAGGACTGAGTTTATTCCCAGTGTTCTAGCCTTGGGTCATTTTGATGTACCTCAAGGGGAAAAAAAAGGAGGAACTCACTGGGCCATCTTACGCAACAGGGTCAGTTACAGCACACCCAGCCTCTGGTTCCTCCAAGCAAGCAAGCCACTACTGGTTTCCGGAGTTCATTAGTTTACAGTGGATCTGGTACAGTAAATTCAGGAGAAGAGGGGGCCCATTTTGCACCCAGCTCAGTATCTGGCCCACCTTAGGCCCATCCACACTGATGAGCATTAGGAGGAGGAGCTGGAAGCCACTTTCTGCACCATCCAGAGTAAAGGCAGTAGCCTACACATGCCCAAAGGGCCTGGCTTCATGGGAGGCTGTCACTGGGAACTGCACACACAAAGGCAGGACCAAAACTGTCATCCTAATCAACGACATGGCTACAAAATCACAGATATGGGGATCAAAAACTTCTAAATTTGAATCCTAGCTCTGCCTCTCGTTTCTTACTTAATTCTAGAAGCATCCGGGGATACATCAGAAAAACAAAAAGAGATCCTATTGCTCTCCGACCAGGAAAAATGACCCATGGATTTGAGGTTGGAAAAGTCCCATGGGGCTGGTGAGCTCCACCTCCCTGTAAACCTTCCCATATCAGATTGGGCTTAAGAATGGAGTTGGTTTTGTTTTACCTTCTCCTCTCCTGAGCTTTTTATTTTGTCCTTCTCTGGGCTTGCAAAGATGACCAGATAAACTGCCAGCAGAGGAACCACCACGGAGCTGACAGTGCTGCAGGGCCTGAGGTAAGGGAAGGAATAAAGCATTCCCACCCTGGAAATCCACTTCAAAGTACAGCGTATTCTGGGGACTGGTCAAGGCCTCTGCAGGGGCTGTGGAGAATTCCCCTCAAGTTTCTTCTCTGGCCTTGCAGTTTCAGTTCCTCCCAAACGCTCTTCCTGTGAGTGGGATCATGTAAGACCAGGGCTGGAATCAGCTCCAGGCCACTTTATAGCACTCCCTCTTCCCCCCAAGCCTGGGCCTCTTTTGAGACCATCTAGCTCAGAGATGGGGAACACAGCCCTCCATGCCCTTCTAGCCCTAGGTTTGTGCCTTTATCTGTTAAAAGCTGACCTCCTCTCCACTCCTGCCTGTGAGGACCCCCCAGGCAATTGTTCTGCAAGTACATAGGTTACCTGCAGTCACCCTGTGGTTCTGAGCCAGAGCGGCAATCCTGACCAGGCTGCTGGGTGATGTAGAGCGCAGGGTAGGTGCCTGAGCCTCTTCCAGGAGGGGCTTAAGGCTCTCCATCCCAGCAGCCTAGCAAGTGCCCCGAGGCTCGCCAGCCTCTCTGACCCCAAGGCCAATATGATTACAGCTCGGCTGAGACCATCCTGCCTAACAAATGCTTTCAGCAGCAGGGTTTTGAGATACACTTTTCTTTCTGAGAAGGAAGTGGCCATTTCACTCTTCTCTCCTTTCACTTAACTCTGCTATAAATCAAGCCTGTTTGAATCCCTCACCTCCAAAACAAATGACTTGAGCCAGAGGGTACTGGGGACAGATATCTACTCTCCAACCTGGACTGTCTAGAAGGCAGAGGCTGGGCAGTGTGAACTGCATGGGACAGCTGCCCCTACAACACTGTCTTGCTTTCCCCACCCCTGCCCTGGGCTTACTGTGTTTTGTACCTGAAGGTTTCCAGCTGCATCTCTCACATCTTTAAGGCAATGGTCTTGCCTTAAAGGAACAGACCACTCTATGTTTTGCCTGTAATTTAGCAAGAAAATCATGTTTAGAATATTCTGTGCAAACTCAGGCAGGGAAAGAGAACTGGACTAGAGCTCAGCAGGCATGGGTTCTTGTCTCAACTCACTACCAACTGGCCACTGGCCTCGGGCAGGTCACCTACTCTCTGGCGTTCTGTTTCTTCACCTGCAAAATGGGAGGTTGGGCCAAATGATCTTCACGTTGCTCCCTAGCTCTAGCATTCTGGGATGTCACAAACGGTTCTGCATTTTTTGTTTGAGTATTATATTCCTTCCCCACCAGATGAATGAAGCTCATGTCATTCATTTAGTCTTGAGAATGTAATGGGGTGCTAATCAATGACACCAGTCTCAGGCAGCACATGTGACTCTAGGAAGATTTTTTTCCTCGTTAGAGATTGCTAAAGTCTTAGGAGGTATTTAGAATGATGTCTGTGATAGGTATCGGGTGCCAAAGTGAATGATACAGAGCAAAGTTAATGCCCGACCCAAAACACCACAAAAAGCAGGAGGACCGGCAGTTGGTGTTCACTGCTTTGGGCTTCCCTTTTCATAGTGGGTTGGTGGCCCTGACCCAGAAGCATGCAGGAACACAGAGGAACAGAAAGCCCAGGCCACTGCCCCAGAACACTGTGTCAGTGGTCAGCTGGCTGCCTCAAGAAAGCTGAGCCATGTAGGTGCTTTACAACTGAACACCCTTCACTGGAGAGGCAGAGGGCCTCACAGTTGAGTGGGCTGGATCTTGATCTGCCCAGTTAGCTGTGTGAACTTGGGCAGGTTGATTAACATCAAATTCCTCACCCATAAATGGAGATAATAACAGTGCCTGCCTAACAGGGTGATTATTTGGATTCAATGAATTAATTTAGAGCATTTAGAATATCACCTGGTACATACTATGCTGTGTTATTGTTATCATCACTTCTTCAAAAATGACTGCTAGAAATCTGAATAGGAATAATTCATCCCTGACTTCTGTGACCCTGGCAAAATACTGTTGAGTGGTACCCAGCCAGATAAGAAATTAGGAAACAGCCCCCAGACATTCAACCTAGATGCAGATACTTTATGT